TAAATTAGGAATGTCGAAAAGAAGGTATACAGATGGTGATTCTTCTAATGGAAGAAATCACATCTCTTTGGTGTGGAATTGTGCTATGGATGAGAAGTAAATTGAAGCTCTTTTGCATCAAGATGTGATTGGAAACCGGCACAATTCCGTCTTTTCACCAACGACTTACAATCAAATAGTGGCTGAACTCCAAGAAATGTTTCCCGATAAGCCAATTGATAGGGATAAGGTGAAAAATCGTATGAAGTATATGAAGTCAAAATGGGCAGCTTGCTATGACTTGTTTAACAATGCGAGCAGCGGCTTTGCTTGGAATCGCAACACTAACATGTGGAGTGCAGAACCTGAAGTGTGGGATCGACTAATTCAGGTAATGAAAAATAACTACACAATCATTGTAATTTATATGCATTTCATGCTTTATTATATTTTTTTCAATAGTTAGTTTCATGCTTTATTACATTTTTTCCCTTATAGTAATATAATGCATACTACTATACATTTAGTTCTTACTTCTATATAATATAGCTTCATATTTATGCTTGATTGTACCCTCAAGTAACTTATATGCTTGTGTGCATGCTCCTGTGAACATTGCCAGAGAGTTCATACCATGCACATTGCCAAAGAGGTTAAACAAGGCCCGATATATTAGGGCCACATTGATGCAATTCAATTAGTCTATGTTCATACCATGAACATTGCCAGAGAGTTCATTATTCAAGAGACAATTAAACATAATAAAGTTCACAACCATTCACACTTTTGACTGCATATAATAACTGATCACTGAAAATTTTGACAAGCACCAAGAAGTTGATTGAAGAAATGAAAAAAAATACATAAACATGTACATGCGTACATATATGTTATAATATACAATATATATGTATATATATATTGTGTGGAGGCGCGTGTCTGTATATATTAGGAACAGGAACAATCTTGTATGGCCTACCATAGGTCCAGCTAGCCTATAGCTCGATTATCTTGTATGACCATCTAGATTACTTTATTATATTTGGAAATTGAACGCCATGATTCATCAGAACAATCTATGCATCAATGAATCAGATCAGCACATATTGTCTTTGGGAGGCATTAAACTTGGCACAATGTATAAATTGTTTGTCTTATTAGTGTTTTTTTTCAAAATTACAGGCTCATCCAGAAGCTGTCGAATGGAGGACCAAACCTATTCAAAATTACGATAAACTACTTAAGCTTTTTGCAGCTGATAGAGCAACAAGAGAGCATGCCGAAACTACGGCTGAGATATGAGAGAGAAGACAGGCTTATACTGATACTAACGAGGTTGATGTTGATCTTACAATTGATGGCATTGATGAAATAGTTTCTAGGGAGGAAATCATCTTGGAGAGTATTGATGGTAACCAAGAAGCAATTAACAAAGAAGACTTTCGTGGGGCTACAATGGGGACTAGGTCAACAGCAAATTCACTGAAGAAGAGCAGAAAGTCAAAGGAGGATGTTGGTGCTGAAAAAATTTATAATAGTATAAAAAAAAGTGGCTGAAGCAATGCTTGTAAGTGCTGAGATATTCAACAAGACTCGGTAAAAGACTGTAATTAAAACAGATGACCTTCGGAGTCTTTTGGTTGAGATTGGGGTCGACGACGAACACATTGATGATGCTGATGATTGATGCATATATATTCTTATTTAATTCTCCAGAGAATCTAAGGGGAGTACTTGGATGTCCAAGGGAGAGGCAGAAGCAAATACTCGTGAGGATGATGCATAGGGCATCTATGCCACCCTCGCCTCATTATTAGCTTCCTACTTACTTATCTTTAATATTTTGGTTTTCTACTTTTGATAGATGCTTTTGGGTATTTGGTGGCAAGTATGGCTTCTTGTCATTTTTTTGTTATTATATGGCAATTACAAACTTGCTGCCGAATTATGGATGCTTATGGTAAACTTGGAATATTAGATGGCTATTGTAACTTCTTGTCAATTTTTGGTTATTGTATGGCAATTACAAACTTTTGCCGATTTATGGAGAATTGCATGTGGCAAAATTGGTTGGAGAATTGTTGTTTATGTTTTGATAAGATACAACGTGTGTTTTGTCAATTTGAGTTGTGTGTAAAGATTTGATAAGATTATGTGTTATTAGTATAAGGTGATTTGTGCAAATTTACATATATTTCCTTCCCTTCTCTTCCCCCATTTTTACTCTCAAACAAGTTATATTAATTTCATCTTCATTCACCTTACTCAACTCCCAAACAACATATTACAATTCCCTTTCCTTCCCTTCTCCCCCCCCCCCCCCTCGTTATTTTAAAAAAAGAAGTAATTCCAGATATAAGTTATAAAGTCCCATTATCAATAACATTTACTAAAAACAAAGGACAAAGTATGAGAAACCGCAACAAATAGTATAAATTAAAAGTCTTTATGGGGGTATGGGTGCAAGAAGAATTCCAACAGTTCAAAATTAGTCCATACGGAAGATTTAAGGTTGTCATAGGTGAAACAACATATAAGACAATGTGCAAAGTAACTCTTGCATAAGCTATAGATAAAGTGAGGCGCCAACCTGGGTGGAGTTTGTTAGAACCCTACTAAAGCTTATAAACCCGTGCTCATAAATTTTCAGAAGAGGAAGTATGCATAAAACAGGAAAAAAAGATTACGAAGGCTCCACACCCTTATTGTCTTGTCCATGGAACCAGAGTAAAGCCTCCCTGCTCCGGATATAGGAAAGGCTACACAATAAATTCTCTGAACTATGAAATTTTGCCTCTAATGTGAAAACTGCGAAGTGCTTCTACTAATCTGCATCTGTAGTGGTTGGTTTATCAACATGTACATTGTTTTGATGTACAATAAGTTCCTAGTTATAGATATTGGTTGGTTCATCAATATTGTAATTTATTTTAGTAGTTCTATGTGTCGTGGTGGTTGTGTTATTGTGGATGTAAGTAAAACATTATTCATTAATAACATGTATTGTTTGTGAATGTACAGTGGTGATAATTTGACCGGATATGTTTTTGTTTCCAGTCTTGTTTTCCTCTTTGGACATGTCAAACTCAAAAAGTTCACCCATATTTCAGTTCTAAGTTAGATTATTTCTTTTTTTTTCCCTGGTACTCGAGACACACCATTTTGATGCCATCAAATAGATGATACTCGAGACACCATTTTCATACCATTTAATGTTTTGAACTTTCTTATCTTAATAGACTATTCTATCACATTCATCTTTTAGCTCATACTTTGTAATAACTGGGTCCTCTATTACAAATTTTAACTCCCTTGATATAGCAGGACTTGCTTAATCACAATATAATTTGATTATGGGGGGCTGGTTATATATTGATGTTTAATAATACAATAAATATGTCTCTTTTATCTGTTAATAAATAACTCTCCTAGTTCCTTTTTGTACAATTTTGTTCTTTTGGGTAATTCGTTCTTATGCTATAACACTCTCATTACAGGCTCATCCAGAAGCTGTTGAATGGAGGACCAAGCCTATTCAAAATTACGATAAACTACTTTTGCTTTTTGCAGCTGATAGAGCAACATGAGAGCATGCCGAAACTACGGCTGAGATATTAGAGAGAAGGCGGGCTTGTACTGATACTAACAAGGTTGATGTTGATCTTACAATTGATGGCATTGATGAAATGGTTTCCAGGGAGGAAATCATCTTGGAGAGTATTGATGGTAACCAAGAAACAATTGATAAAGAAGACTTTCATGGGGCTACAATGGAGACTAGGTCAACAGTAAATTCACTGAAGAAGAGCAGAAAGTCAAAGGAGGATGTTGGTGCTGAAAAAATTTATAATAGTATAAAAAAAAGTGGCTGAAGCAATGCTTGTAAGTGCTGAGATATTCAACAAGACTCGGTAAAAGACTGTAATTAAAACAGATGACCTTCGGAGTCTTTTGGTTGAGATTGGGGTCGACGACGAACACATTGATGATGCTGATGATTGATGCATATATATTCTTATTTAATTCTCCAGAGAATCTAAGGGGAGTACTTGGATGTCCAAGGGAGAGGCAGAAGCAAATACTCGTGAGGATGATGCATAGGGCATCTATGCCACCCTCGCCTCATTATTAGCTTCCTACTTACTTATCTTTAATATTTTGGTTTTCTACTTTTGATAGATGCTTTTGGGTATTTGGTGGCAATTATGGCTTCTTTTCACATTTTTGTTATTGTATAGCAATTACAAACTTGTTGCCGATTTATGGATACCTATGACAAACTTGAAAAATTGGTTGGAGAATTGTTGTTTATGCTTTAATAAGATATATAGTGTGTTTTGTCAATTTGAGTTGTGTGTATTGGTTTGATAAGATTATGTGCTATTATTATAAGATCATTTGTGTAAATTTACATATATTTCCTTCATTTCCCTTCCCCCCGTTATTACTCCCAAACACTAAGATAACTCAACTCCCAAATAACATATTACAATTTCCTTTCTTTTGCTTCCCTTCCCCTTCCCTTTGTTTAGCTTTCCTTCACTTCCCTCACTGAACTTCCAAAGATTGTTTCCCTTCCCTTCCCTTCCCTTAGTAAACTCCCAACCATAGCATAAAAGCGCAAGTAGGCCTCAAATAGTTCTATCGTTATTTTAAAAAAAGAAGTAATTCCAGATATAAGTTATAAAGTCCCATTATCAATAACATTTACTAAAAACAAAGGACAAAGTATGAGAAACCGCAACAAATAGTATAAATTAAAAGTCTTTATGGGGGTATGGGTGCAAGAAGAATTCCAACAGTTCAAAATTAGTCCATACGGAAGATTTAAGGTTGTCATAGGTGAAACAACATATAAGACAATGTGCAAAGTAACTCTTGCATAAGCTATAGATAAAGTGAGGCGCCAACCTGGGTGGAGTTTGTTAGAACCCTACTAAAGCTTATAAACCCGTGCTCATAAATTTTCAGAAGAGGAAGTATGCATAAAACAGGAAAAAAAGATTACGAAGGCTCCACACCCTTATTGTCTTGTCCATGGAACCAGAGTAAAGCCTCCCTGCTCCAATAACTAATGAAACTACGGCAAGTTGATGACCAGTAAGAGAAGCAGCAGGTTCAAAGCAGTTGTTTATGGCGTTAAACTTCCATGCCAGTATTCTACCATCCTGAAACCATTTCAGAAATACAAGTCGGATCAGTTTCGTGATACTGTAAACAGAATAAAATAACCATTTTCGACAATCTTTAGAGAGGGAAGTTCATAACCTGTGCTCCCGCAAATAGCATCTCATTGCCAGCCACCAATGCATACACTTGCCCGACTGGACCATCGAGAGTTAAATCAGTTGACGTTTGCGTATTCCAAACCTTTACAGAATTAGTAATCCCTATAAAAATCCAAGGCCCCTCGCTGATCATGCAGCCAACTTCGTTTCCCATGTTGATAACCCCAACACACTACAAGAAGAAACAAGACATTTTTAAATTCACAAAAATTCACAGAAATTCAGTTCCAAAACCAATAGAACATCTCATGAACAGAAACTTACTTGGCCACTCTGGCAATCCCAAACCCGAACCATCTCATCCTGGCTCCCCGAATACAACTTATCCGAGCCCAAAGGCAATGCAATCCCGGTAACAACCTGCAAACATCAAAACCCATCAAATCTATATGATCAAGGAAAACCCACATGACAAAATTCAAGAAAAAAAAATAGAAAAGGTATCACCTTCTGGTGACCTTGAAGAGGGGTGAGCAAAGAGAAGTTATCGCCAACAAACCAAGAATGCACGAACTTGCACCTCTCCCCATAAGAACAATTCCCGGCAATGAAATAGCTGCACGTCTTGTTCACTGGTTGCCGGG